CTGACTGGGTCTGATCGCGTCATTTGGCTTCTGCATGTGTCCCCACCTGCCAGCCAGGCAACGGGGCTCAGTGTTCGGAGAGGCGCCATGACGGAGGCAAGGGGAGGGGGCGGGGGGGTACCGCTGACCACAGGGCTGCTCGTGTCCACGACAGACGTCCCTTCACAGAACGGGCGCCGAGAGGCAAAGCTGGAGGCTGCTGCCCCGAAAGGGACGTGGGGACCTAAGAGGATAGAAAATCCCACCACCCAGAGATTTCTAAGCAGCGTCCCTCATGTTTGTTGTGCCCGGAAGCGCAGCTTGAGACTCAGTTTCCCCTGTGACCCGCCCGTAGCCAGGAGCAGGGGGAGTGGCGCGCAGCCTGCGGGGCTCCTGGTGTTCCGTGTCTGGAGAGGACCGAGCACACGACCTACCGAGAGACGTCACACGTCCTCGAAAACACAGCAAAAGGGACTGTCCACCTCATCAACAACCACCTGCAGGCTTCTGTCCCTGCTGCAGGCACACATTACACCTGCCAGGCAAGGGGAGGCGCGTTTCGGAAGCCACCTACGGGACAGGACATTTAAAAACGATTGCTGGCCGCGGTGCTCCTGCGAGTGGTTCTCCCTCTCCCATCCCAGCAGAAGGGGACGGAGCCGGGCGGGCGCAGGCGGGGGTCGGGGCTGGCCCCAGCCGGGCTGGGAGGAACGTTTACTGACCATACGTCTCGATGAGGTGGTCAGTTCCCTGGTAATTAGTTCTGGGTACAATTTAAAAACCCATCAAAAGGGAGAAAATGCTCGGTGAAGTTATAATCCTGGGTTAATCACGTATAGTAACAGGACTAGGAACTTCTTCCATTCGAAGGCGGGTTAGAAAAGGGCTCGAGATAGCAGCCGCCCGCACCGCGTTACAATTAAGAGGCCACAAGGACCAGTATGCAGTGTTTTAAATTAGGAACTGAAATGTCCTGTTAATTTTAAAAATGGAACACAGACAAAAAATTTAAAAATGGGAAATTTTAGAGCATATGAAATAAAAAACAGATATAAAGCTATACGCACATTATGACACAGAGATACATCATGAACACTGTGTGAAAAGGATACATTCATATTTAAGAGCCATCATTTCTGGGTGGCAAATTATTGATAATTTTAATTTGTGTATGCTCTTCTGTGTCTGTTAAGCTCTCTCGGACAAATTTATAGTACTTTTATGCCTAAAAAATGGAAGAGTATCAACTCTATTGATCAAATTTATCATCAGATGTCACATGATTAAAGATGACACATATCTTTTTAAAAAAAAAGATTTTATTTAATTATTTTTAGAGCAAGAGGGAGGGAGAGAGAACGAGAGGGAGAGAAACACCAATGTGTGGTTGTCTCTTGCGCACCCCCTACTGGGGACCTGGCCTGCAATGCAGGCAGGTGCCCTGACTGGGAATCAAACCGGCAACTTTTTGGTTCGCAGTCCAGCGCTCAATCCACTGAGCCTCACCAGCGAGGGTGACACAGATTTTTACAAAGTTAAAATTACATTCCATCATTTTTCATGTTTTAGATAACTTTTTTTTAATTTAAAAGGAAACATTTCTTGTAGATCAGCATTCTTTTTAAACATTTCTCTTCAAAATGTTTGTATTTTCAACATCCAGGTGGCATGTAAGGAACACCTGCTCTGGGCCCAGCATTGCACCAGGTGCTGGGGACGCAGCAGAGGACGAAAAGGGCAAGGAAGCTCCCCTTAGAAATCCACTGAGGAGAGGGGCCCGTCGGAAGGGCTGGCCGGAACTGCGGGACTTGCCAGAAAGAGACAGGGGCACGCCAACAGTTCTGATTACACCGAGGAGAAAGGCTGTGGGTTTCTGACTTTCTCCAGGTGGGACAGCTGAGCCTCAGCTCAGATCACCTGTGGGCCATGAGCGCAAAAGCGGGACCATGACCGGCAGTGAACAGAAAATAGGAGAGAACCCTGCACCCGGACAGGGTCCCGCGTGGCCAGCCAGGCTGTGCTGGGACCCGGGGCCAGCGCCCGTGGTTCTGGAAGCTGCAGGCGTCCACCCAGCCTCCTGCAGGCTGAACTTTGTTTAGTGGCAGGGGATGAGTAGGATAGTGTCGCTGACTAGGAGCTCACTGTCTGGAGGGGAACAAAAGAAGAGCTACTAGTGCCCTGGCCAGTGTGGCTCGGTTGGTTGGAATGCTGTCCCATGGATTAAAAGTTTGGGGGTTCGATTTCCCTGTGAGGGCACATACCTACGTGGTGGGTTTGTCTGGGATGCTTATGGGAGGCAACCTATCAATGTTTCTCTCTTTTCCCCCCTTCCTCTCTCTGTAAAATCAATAAACTTTTTTAAAAATTAAAAAAAACCACATAGCGATAGAAGTGAGTGTACACCCATGAGAGAGTATAGAGGGGTGAGTTCTGAGCTTCAGCTGATGGTTGCTTATGTGAGCGTTTTTTGAACAGGGTCTCTAGGAATAAGAATAAAAATTTGCGAAGTAGAGAGTGGGGAGGGCAAAGCAATCCATGATTAAAGGGAATAATAATTGCACAGAATGTTCAATGCAAGGGAAATTCCGAGGACTGCAGGTAACATGTGACTAAAACGCGGCTGAAGGTAGGAAACCATGTGTTTAACGACTCTTGAGAATTTACACGTGACTGAAACTGTCCACGGTGCTATGAACCAGTATGAGGAAGACCTAGTCGCTGTGCTCTGGGATCTTTTGAGTCCAGTGCCACCTAGACACAGACGGGAAATCAGCCATTTGAACCCAGTGCAATAGGCATGGTAGCAACAATAAACAACGCCTGGGACATCGCTCTAGGGTTAACAGAGGGAAAGGAAAAGTGCGGCAACTGCCACAGGGCAGCTGGTTTACACAGACGGAGAGCCACCCCTTCCCCACTCATCGCGGATTGGCCTGTCCTCGTGCAAACGAGGGCTCCAAATCCTTGCAGTTGGATTGGTCCAAAGGCATTGTCCCGATTGGGCAGAATGGAGGCTCTTGATTGGTCAGTGAAGAAGCGGCTGACTATAACTGCCCAGCTCTCATTGGGCGAGGAAGGCCTCGGTCCTATTGGTTGAGACAGGATTTCAGGAACTCCTTTGTAAGGGCTGCCCAGGTAGCAGAAACAGTGCAGGCTCCTCCCTGAAGCGTGATTTGCTGAGAGGTCCTGAGCAGAAATGCTGCCAGGGCCAGTTTTTTAAAATTTGAGCCCAGGTAGCCACCAGGAGCCCTTCTTTGTAGGTCTGGTCGCTTCTTTCTCAGGGTTCACACAGTTACTTTAATTTCTACTGAGAGAGAACTTTTGTCCCCGTATAATTATTGACACATGTATGACTAGCTTGTTCATGTCCTTTTACGTTTTAAGAGTTGGTTAGCTTTTCATTAGTGATCTGTAAGAATTCTTGACGTATTAGTAAATCAAACATTAGATACAAGAAATAATAACCGAGTATTTATAATTAAACTCATACAAGCTACAATCATTTCTATATTTCACCAGCGTTGTTTTTTTTTTTGCTTTGTAACTTCTTTTGCCATATGAAACGCACAATTTGTGTGTTCGTTATCAATATTTTCCACTTTCTTGAAGTAGGTCCTGTCCTAATACCTAAGTCACTTCTACGTAAGTAACGTGGTGTGGTGGAAAGAATGAAGATGAAGACCCAAACAGACTTGAGCTTGCCCGGCATAGCCAAATTGTGGCACCCAGCGTCCATGCTCTGTCGCCTTAAGCGGGGCGGTTATCGTGAACCAGTCTCCTCGTCCTCAAAACGAGGAAGAGGAATCCCAAAAGCGTTAATTCCCTTTTTCTTTGCACTCAGCCAGCGGCACCATCATCTGCCAACGTGTCCAGTCTATGAAGCCTAATAGACTGGGAGCTGAAATTTTTTGGTGAATTTACATTCGACCGTTTTTCCAGGGATCTTTCAGTAGCCCGCTAAACTACAAACCCCATAATGCATGTAAAGGGGTGATCAGGTTTCTGTGCGGGGAAACCTTTGTGGATTAGGGCGGGACAGCTCGGTATTTTCTGGGTTTTGCCTCCCCTACGGTCCCCCAGGCACACAGAGCTGCTTCCTTCTGGAAGGTTAACTTCACAGGTGTCCAAGGGGGGTCCTTGCTTTGCTCCGCGAAGTGACTAATCAACATTCATTTAAGGAATCGCGTGGGCGGTGTAGCTTCTGCACAGGTAAACATGACAATCGGCCCCGTCAACGGGGTGCACTAGCCGTACTGATCCTTGGGGAGTCGGGGCCTAGCGCCCCAAGAGCGAGTCTCGCGGCCGCAGCAGCCGCTCCCGCCGGCCAAGTGCGGGTGCACCATGGCTCCAGGGCGCCCAGGCGCCGGCTCAGCGCCGCCCGCGCTCCGCCTGGGAACGGCCGCGCACCGCCAGCACGTGACCCGCGCCGCCTGGCAGAGCGCGGGACCGGCGAGTGGCGCGCCGCGACTGCCCCGACTGCCCGCTGCCCGGCCGCCTTCCGACGCAGCGTTTCGGTCTTGTCCCCAGGGCAGCCCCACCATTTAGGCCCTCGGCGGCGCTGGGCGGGGCAGGGGCGGGAGGAGAGGGCTCCTGCGGGAGCGGCGGGGAATCCCCCTTCCTCCGAACGTTCCCGATTGTTCAAGGGGCGCACGTCAGCAGCAGGGGGTAATCCCCGACTCCAGCTGCTGCTGACGTCACCGCGCGGAGCCCCCGCGCCAGCCCCCGGGGCCTCCTCGAAGCCCCGCCCCAGGCGTAGCCACGCCCTGGCCCCTCCCCCCGCCGCCCGACGTAGAGGGCGGAGCGTCTCCGGCCGGGGCGTGAGCCGTTGCTCCGGCCAGAAGGTTCTGTGGTGGAGGCGCTCCTCCTGCTGCCCCGCCCAGTAGGTTCGTTCGCGGCGCTTCCTCCACGCCCTGTCTCCCTCCTCCTCATCCACGCCCCGCCTTTCTCTCCCTTAGCTTTAGCTCCCCGGTTCCCTCCGCGCCTCGCCACCATCCCCCATCTCGCGAGACTTGGCCCAGAACATTGCGGATCGGGTCGGCGCCATTTTGGGACGGAGACTGGTTGTGGGGGAGGGAAAAGCGGCAAAAGGGGATTATTCAAAGTACCGAGATCCTTGTCCCGGGACCGAGCGCGGGCACCCCAGGCCGGGGGCACTTGCGGGGTGGCAGAAGGTAACGCGGTGCTTGGTGCCCGCGCCGGAGTCGGGGGTGCCGTGTGGGCGTCGGGGCCGGGGGTCGGGCGGCGGTGGCGGCGCGCGGTGCCCGCAGACGGGGTGCAGGAGCCGGGAGCAGGCCGGCGCCGGGACCTCAAGGGGTTGCGTGGGCTCCGCGGCGGGCGGGCGTTGCGACCAGGGCCGGCCCCCTCCGCGCGCTGCCGCCCCCTCGGGCTCCGGGGCCGGGCGGTCGGGGCCTCCGCCGGGGTGTCGGCCGCTCCCCGCGCGCCCTGGGTCTGAGCGAGTCTTCGTGGCAGAGGCGTCGGGAGAAGCCGCTTCCTGAATTGGGAAAGCCAGCACCCACACTTCGCCCGGCGGCCGCCTTCGGAGGCCGGTGCGGGGACGCTGTCGCCCCCGGGGTCCGCCTCGATGGTCCTCGGCCCGTGCCGCCCCGCGGGAGCGGGTTTCCCCAACTTGCACGGGCGAAAGCTCGGCCCCACACCTGTCGGTGTCTCGTCGCCGGGCCCGGGATGGAGAACGCAGGCGAGGCGCTCTGTCCGGCTGGGCGCCGCTCTCGCATGGCGAGGCTTGCCCGGAAAGTGCGGGGCTCCTTATGTAAGCCCGCGCCCCCTCCCACCGGGATCGGCGCCCCCCGCCGCCCGCGTTCCCCAGCCGCCGCCGCTCCGACCCGCGCGCCGCCCTCCGACCCCGGCGGCGTCTCCGCAGCTCCGCGCCCGAGCTCAGGGTTAATTTCTAGGTCCACGTCAGAACCGTGTAATTCAAGTTGTTTTCTTTTTTTTTTTTTTAAATAACTTTCACAGGTGATCGAATTACTCAGATAAGAAGATCGTCGTCTAGGTTTTGCGAGAAAGGCCCCGGATATTTCAAGTGGCCATTTTGGAATTACAATGTTTTTGGACAGTTTTGCCCCAGAAGTGGATTCGAATGGGCGAAAGTCACCTCGGAAGTGAATTGAGAGCGGCGAGCAGCTCTGCGAGCCCCTGAGCACACCTGGGCGGTCCTCCGTGTTTGGGTTCAAACGCGTTGCCTAAGCGGCCGCGGCGGTTCGGCTGCCGGCGCCCCCCGCCCCCCCGCGGGGTCTCAGCCCGGAGCGGGGGCGATGCGCGCCGGGCGCGCGGGGCGGTCGCGGAAGCTCCCGGCCGCTGTCTAACCACCGTCGCGGGTCCGCGGCCGCGCGTCCACCCCGTTACAACCCCCAGGACCGCAGCCCTCGGCCGATGGGGCGGCTCTGCTAATCGATGAGGCCTGCGGGGCGGCGCGGCGAGTCTTTCCTTTGATCTTTTTTTCACGTGAAACCTAAGATGCTGCCGGCGCCCAGCGGCGCGGCGGCGCTGAGATAGCCGGTCCCGGGAGCCCGCGTCCGGGAATGCCCCGCGGACGTGTCGCGCCCTCCCCGCGCGTGCGTCTTGGCCCCTGAGTCGGACGTTCCCTCTCGAGCGGACACGCACGGCGGCGACGAGTACATGGAATAGTCGGGAAGGCCGCAGCCTCCTCCTTCCAGGGCCGGGCCGGCCGGCGGGCGGGCGGCCGCGCGAACCTCGGCGGCGGCGGCGGCAGCATGGGCAGCTGACTGGCGGGGGCAACTCCATGTCCAGTGGCCGCAGGTCGGGCATCTTCAGAGAACTCGGACTTGACTTGAGAGGATACAAAGTCAAAAAACAAACTGGAACACCCCGGGAGAACGGAGACAACCCCGACACCTTGCCGCGCGGCCCCGCTGGAGTGTGTAAGTAGCGCCGGGAGCAAGTCCGCCGGCCTCCGGCGGGGCGGCCGCCTCGGCCCGGGCCCTGGACGGCCGCGCCGGCAGCAGGGGTTGGGGCTTAGGAGCGCGCCCGGCCCAGGTCCCCGTGTTCGCGTTGCTCACGCAGCGAACGAGCCCGCACGGTCGGCGTCCGCCTCAGCCTCCCCGGGGCTCCCAGGTCGGTCGGTGGGGGACCACGAAGGGTTTCTTGTTTGAAACGTCATCCTGTGGGGCTTGTGTTTCAATCTGACATTTCTCGAAGTGGCTTCTGTAATTTCCATTATAGAGATTTCTGACACAATTCTTTGGAGTGGTTTTATGTCACATTAAGACCTCAGTGTCAAACACCCAGGGCATTACCAGAACAGAAACGGAGAGGAACTGCGCTGGGTGCGCTAAGAACTTCTGAAATAACTTTAAAAGTGAGTGCACTTTTTTCTTTCTCCCAGGAATGTTGTGCTGGTTTAAGTCTTTAGTAAAGCTTTCATAGAGAAAATGAATTTTAATTGTAGTAATAGAAATTCTTTTGGTGAATGAATTAATATTTATTGTATAGGATTGAATCTCGTTTTTAGTTACCATGAGTTACTACATTTTTTTTAGCGAATCATAGGCATTCTGTTGAACTCTTTAAATCATTATGCTCTTCTAGGCCATTACTATTAGTGAACACATCAGTGTAGCTGGAATTAGAGTTTCATTTAATGATCTTTCTGACATAAAAGACTGGTTTGCGAACACTTGGCTCAGATGGCCGGTCGCCGGTCAGCTGGTCCTCTATTTTGTAACAGCGCCTTCCGGTCGCACCGGTGAGCCTCCCTCGCTGTCGCTTGGAGCAGGGGAGGCCGAAGGGTCCCCAGGAAGTGTTGAGGGCTGCACGCGTCACTCCTGTTTTCTGATCCGAAATTGAGATTACAGTTCAACAAGTCTCTCCATTAACACAGACCAGGTTATTTTTGTTTTCTCTGTCAGAAAACTAGTATTTTTAATTGCGTTTCCACCTTGATTTATGTAAAACGTGGTGAGAACATTCTCCTTTGCCCCCTTACTTCAGGGAGCCTGTGTTTTATGTATTTCTCAATTTAATGGTTTTTCAAGTTATTTGAGAATATGCAGCTTGAATGTGGTTAAGAAGGATTGGAAATGAATGACCTTTATTCATAAAAAGTCACATAACATTTATCATTTGTGACTTTTTCCCCTTTAAGTTGCTCCTGTCGCTGTTACCCCAGGCAGTAGCGTCAGACTACAGGTTACTCCCGAGACCAGGGCTGTTAACAGTTAACTTGAGTCCTTGAATAGGATACTTGGATCTTTACCTGCAGCAGTTGGTCAAGGAAAGGTGCGCTTGTTTGCACGTTTTGATGTCTATTTCACTGTTTCACTTTCTTGGTGCCGGAACCTGCAGCCCTGTTGGTCGTCGGGGCACTGGCTGCTGCTCGTCCCTGTAGAAGTGCTCTCTCCTTCCTCCTCCCTCGCTCTCTTTCTTGTGCCTAACCTACAGGTGCAAAAATAACAAGCAGAATGGGAACCTTTGTAAGTGACGACTGTGTCGTGTGTTCTGCTGTGACCGCACGCGGTCGGCCTTCGTTCTTGCCCTGGCCCTGTGAGGGGGTACGGTGAGCGACGGCATAGGTGGGGAGGTTAGGGTTCGGGGGGCTGCCTGGGAGCAAGGTCACGGGCTTAGGAGCAGGGCCAGCTGGTGTCCTGGCCAAGCCTCCAGACGCTGCGCCCTTAATCACTGATCCTTGCGCTGCTTCTGGGGTCTTCCTTAGTAACTTGGTTTACTTGAGTGTTGTCCCTGATATTTTTTGTTTTTCTTTTCATACACTCTTTTCTCTGGGCAATTTTGATTACTATTTGTAGACAACTAGAAGATAAAGAAGTTATTGGTGGTTTTGCTGTTAGTAACTCTATGAGTGATAACTTGGGCAAAACAGTAAACTGTAGTGTTAGGTGAGAGTGATGTCTCAGGCACCCGCCACCTCTGCCCAGGTAGGGAGCTACGCGCGTTGGCTTTGTTTCCTCTGGTTTTGAGTTGACATTACTGCGTGGGTTTTTGTGCTTAAAGCTGTGATAGAATTAAGGAAGGGGGGAATAGTAGGGAAATCAGAGCAATGGGAATAGTGAGCAGAAAGAAGAAAAGGAAGATCACAGAGCCACAGGAGAAGGGGGTCAGGATGGAAATTTCTAGCCTGTAAGTAAAATCCACAAGTCAGGACAGACACTAACCCAGGCCAGGTTATCTGTCCTGGACGCAGCCACCTTTTCTGTTCACTTTGTGATGAGTGTTTAGGTGACCATTCAGATCTAGGTAAGGGTGGTGATGTGGATAATGGGGAATGTCTGGGACTTAGGAATATTTCTGGTTTAGGATTTGGAATATGTAGAAAAGGGCTCATGTGACCTTGTATAGCCATCTAACCTCTTTTGGCCTTAGTTCTTCATAGAACTGATGGAAATAATGCATTTGAAGTTTTTTTTTGTTAATTATAGAGTGTAACATATAAAATTTTATTCTAATATTGCAAGATTCTACTTAATGTCGAATCAGTATTTACCATGGTCTCTGAAGTCACTTTTTCCCTCTCCTTTCTGTTCACGGCCTCACCGGCAGCCCCTCTCACACGCTGCCTCCCCAGTTCCGGCTTCGTCTGTTAGTCGAGCTTGGCTCTTGGCTAAGACAGCCGCCTGTTCGCCCCTCTTTTTGCCTTTAGCGCTGTTCCCTTCTCCCCGCAGTTGCCCCTGTGGCCAGCGCACCCGTCTCCCGCCCAGCGCTGGGGTTTGTCGCCCTGGAAGCCCCCGTGTGCGTGTGGGTCGTGAGAAGAAGCAGTGCCTACCTGACTCGCTGGGTCTCGGATGGCACAGTCTCCTTGCTGGAGGCGCGTCGTTAGCTCGAGGTGGCGGCCGAGGGCAGCGGCCTTGGGCTCCCTGCTGTCAAGAGAGTTTGTGGATGTAGTAAAAGCCACCATGGCGGACAGTCCTCCACAACCAGGAGTTGTCAGCGGAATTAGCCAAAGGTTTCAGAACCTGCACGTAGGAAGTTGTGCCATTACAAGATTAGAGAAGAACGTGTGTTATAAATTTAAGTGAATTTAGGAGGTTTAGATCTTTGTACCTTTCTAGCTAATAGATGAGATGTGGTCCCTCCCCCTTTGTGCTGATTTCCCAGTCAGTGTATGAGAGGAAATAAACATAACATTTACCACTTGAGCCACTTTTAAAATTTTATCTTTTAGGAAAACCAGAACCTGAAACAAGGAAGGGCTTAGGACAGAAGCTGCAGCAGAAGCGAGCTGGGCAGGGCTGCTTTGGCTCCCTGGACAGTCAGGAGAGAGGCCTCGGAGACAGGGCCAGGGGTCCGCCTGGGACGAGCTGCCGCTGCCCACTGCTCCCCTGGTTGCAAGTCTCCTGGGGCGCTTGGAGATGAGGAGATGCAGCCAGAGAGGGGAGGGGGGAGGGAGGCAGGCGTGGGCCTGCCCTCGGGAGGGAGCGCGCGCCCCGCCCCTTCTGAGTGTCCAGCTCAGTGGCATTGGGTCCATTCGCCTTGCGCTGCAGTCGTCCCCGACGTCCGCCTCCAGACCCTCATCATCTTCCCAGGCTGAAGGGGTGCCTGGTGAGCCCACACTCCCCAGCCCCTGGCAGCCCGCCCGGCGTGGGGCTCGGGGCCTGGGCCCCTGCCGAGCCACGGGGAAGTGCGGCGGTGCGCTGTGGGCCCTTGGTGGCCAGCTTGTTGCCCTCAGCATGGTGTCCTGCCGGTTCACGCGTGTCATAGCAGGTGTCAGAATTTTCTCCTTTTTCAGACAGAATGATGCATTGGAGACATCGACCACACTTTGTGGATTCATTCATCTGCTGATGGACACTTGGGTTGCTTCAACCTTTTGGCTGCTGTGAACATGGGTGTACAAATACCCGTTTTACTGTCTTAATCCCTGCTTTTAATTCTTTTGTTTGTATACCCAGAAGTGGAACTGCTGCTGGATCACGTGGTAATTCTGTTTAATTCTGTAAGGAACCTTCTCATTTTTCATAGTGGCCGTACTATTTTTTATTTCTATCAGCAGTTCACAAATATTCCAGTTTCTCTGCATGTTTTCCAACATTTGTTATTTTCCATGTTTTTGATAATAGCCATCCTAATGGGTTTGAAGTGGTATCTCATTGTGGTTTCAATTGCATTTCCCTAATGATTAGTGATGTGATTAGTGATATCTTTTCATGTGCTTATTGTCTTCTTTGGAGAAAGGTTTATTCAAGTCATTTGCTCATTTTCTAAATCCAATTGTTTTTGTCATTGAGTTGTAGTTCTTTCTAATCTGGCTATCAATGCTAATAATAATGAGTAGATCTTAATAAGTAGTATTTATCAATTCTGCTCAGGCAGTGTTCTAAGCCCTTTAAGTATATTAACTCAGTTGCACCTCTTACGCACTGTGTGTGAGAGGGTCCTAGTGTGGTCCTACTCACACAAGCATGTACGTTGCAGACGAGGAAGTGAAGGCCGGAGATGTTAACTTGCTCGCCAAGGTCGCACAGCCCGTCATTTTCCCAATTAATGTGTGAAGTAAGTGCTGTTTCCATTGCATGGTTTTAAGAAGCTCAGTCTGAGATTAAATAATTCACCCAAGGTCCTCAGTAAGTAACAGCTAGAAGTTGAATTGTGTTACCTGTGTTCATCCCTACAGTTACCCTCCTGGGGTTTGCTGTCCGTGCATGTGGGTGAGGCCGCGGAAGGGCTCTGTGCCTGCTCTGGTCACTGCGGCGGTCACTCACCAGCGTGGAGCATGCGAAATGCGGCTGGCGCAGGGGGGGACTGACTTTGAAGTTTCCCTGACCCCTAGTTGAAGGGCCGCCGTGAAGGACGGTGCAGCTTGGAACAGTGGTGTGGAGTCCAGTGGGGCTCGTACAGCTTTCCTCACAAGCACTGTTTAAATTCCTCCTCACCGTCCTGAACTAAAATACTGTCCCATGCACGAGACCACAGTCACTTGCAGCTGCAATACAACAGACGGAAGGAAAGCTGCATTTCAGCAAGGACACACACATGGTACGAGCTTGTCCTAGAGGACGGCCCTCCGCACTGCCTCTGCTCCTCTTAGAAGAAACCAGTGCGCTTGTGTTCCTAAGTGCTGCTGTCCTTAAAGGAAGAAAGGTGCCTGAGGCTGATTCGAAATGTAGTTGTTAATTGGAGTACTTTCCCTTTATTTTTCTAATGTTTGCTGTCAGTGTGGTTGAATAGACAGCCAGCATTAAAGCTGTCCTGTGGTGTAGTGATACTGTATTCCTAGAAATGATCAGGAGGGAAGTACTGTATTTTGCCATGAATAATGTGCTCCCATGTATAATGTACACCCACGTTTTTGGTCCACACTTTCAGGAAAAAATACTGTTTTAATTTTTTAATTGTTTTTTATTTATA